TGTAAGTGGACACCTTAGAATAGAAGGAGAGATACCACAACTGTCTGGCAGGAAAATGGTCAAAGGATCGACTTAACTTGTTTCTCTGACTAGCTGTAGTGCGGGGCTAAGAATGGCGAGGCTTACTGACGATGCTGAAGAAACGAGTGGGAATGCACCCAGCAAATATTCAGACTCGGGAAATTATGATGCATATATGCAGTGCATTCTTTTATATCTTTTTGACATAAATTATTTATGATAACTTATTACATCGCTAGATGCTCATCACATAGTAATTACTAGTTAACCTAATATAGGGGTATACATGACTTTAGAAAGGATATTCTTTACGCAGAAGAGAGCAAATTGTAGCATTTGATCTGTAAACATTATCATGTATATTATTTGAAGGGCAGAATATATTCTAATATTTATAAAAATGTAGTTCCTCAAATACAATCAGTCGATTATATATTTTACGGAAAAAAAATTCTTCCAAATCTGGTCTATAGTATATTTGTTTTTAGGACTCCTTCCGGAATTATTTTTGCCTTTTTAAACTACTCAACGGGGCGCTTTGGAATTATCCCATCAGTCAACTAGCTCCTGCATCATTTAATATAATCAAAAATATATTTGGTTACTCGAGAGATAAATAAAATTTTACAATTACCATTCTTATGAATAGAGATTCAGGCGTTTTCTAAGTTAAAAGCAACACTTCTATGAAGTATATATCTTACTTTGTTATCTAGCGCTATCATGGTCAAATTTTATGGCTACTAATTTTGGCAAAGGAGGCTAGCTTTCTTAATTACTAGTTGATTTTAGGTTGGTTATATTATGCATGCTCTATTCATCATCCAGAATAAGGATTCTTTGTCATTTGTACGCTGAAGTATGCTAGAGAATATTTTACAGAATATAAACCAAGGATAAATTTGAGTAAATATTGTTAATGCGTGGCTATTAAAATATGTCGACTCGGGCAAGATAGCGCCTTTTATATTATTTAACAGATAAAAGTTATATAAACAAATATTATTAGTCCTGATGCAGATCTTTATTAAACTATTGATATATTGAGTGCTGAACTAAAAAAAGGGTGTTCAAATTCATACAAATCATTTATAGCTTTTTCACAATAAAATTAGTGAGTAAAAGAAAAATTAAACATCTTTATTGATTTAAGCAAAATGATTTTACTTTTTCTCGTAATTTCCGATGGTTTATCGTTAATATTGATTATTGTCTTCTGCTCTGGTAGCTGCTTTGGCATAAATTTGAAGTTTAGGCGAAATCCATCACCAGTTGCGCTTGAATCAGAATAAAAGCGGAGAATAATGGCGCGCATCCAGAGGCTGCTTTCGCCCTGGCTATAATCTATATATACAGGCCCAGGTATTCTGGATCCACAATATAGCATTAATGGCTTCAATTTCACTTGCATTTTTGTTGCGTTGCCGATTTTACTCCAACGATCCGGCCAGTTACGTAGGCCATCTGGCGTATTGTCTAGTTTAAAAGCTTCGTTTGCTATTGCTTGAACGGTCTCAATCCCGTGTGATAAATGCATGTCCACGATCTCGAGAAAATCCTAGAAACAGACATTTTAATTTCAAATGCATATTTTGTATAATAAATACTTTTATAGTATACACGCATGATTTATATCCTTTTTATCAACAAGTAATAATTGTTATTATATTCGTTTTGACTATCAAATTAAAAAAATATAAATATATATATCTTTATTTAAAACATTTTCTACAGCAGAAAACTCGTTCTTTCATCAATGTGTAATGAATAAATCTTAAAGGTTGTTGTGACAAGATATTGAGAAATTACTCAGAACTAACTTTATTCAGAAAAAGACTACTTATACTAACCGATGAATGAATGCTTAGATTATTTTATATTTGCTTACGTTACTTTAACTGATCCTATTATGAATATTTGTTAAAGCCTTACTTCTTGTATATAAATATAATTTTTGTTCCTTTCTATAAAAAAATGGGAGCAACATATTTGTTTTTAAATACTTAATATTTTAAAGATTAGACTTGTAAGAGTTTTCTCCCAGTTAGCAAAAATAATATAAAGTGATTGGAACGAAGATTTGGTACCCATAAATGCATCATAATCTAATAATGACTGGTTAGCAACTTGTTTCTTCGGTCAGACCATTAAAAAAGAAATGTATCTTGATCATAACTAAAATAAATGTTCCTGTATAGTATTGTAAAACTTTTGTATCTTAGCATACCCAAAATCTAAACAAATGAAAGCATTATCCTAATTATTTATAATTAATAATGGTTAAACAATAAATAAAAATCATGATATGCAGAAGAAATATATTATGATTTAAAGAATCTTTTAATTTTACTGCTATTGGTACATTTAACCTTTAAATGTATTAATAAATCTGCTGATAAATTTAAATTAAGAGCATAAATATTGAACTCTAAGTTTGTAAAGTATTACAACAATTTGAAAACTTGAGAATATATTTAATTTAGCTGAGCCATTCTTTCTAAGATACTAACATTTATAGGCTTATATGATTTGTGCATAGATAAACTAAAAATAAATTTTAAATCAAATTATTTAGTTTCATGATTATCATAAATATCAAATAAGTTGTCTCTATTTGTTTAATCATAGTGATTTTGAATTTTTCATCAATTAAAATAAAAGATATCTAAACGTTAAACGTGGCATTTTCAAAGAGGATCTATTTTCTTCATTATACATATCAAGTTATATTTTGGCTTACATTTTGACATTGTCGTTTGTAACTTTGGTGATATCCTTTAGGATATGTGGAGTCCTCCTTTATATCAAAAACCGAAAACCAGAATAGTAGATCTTCATCCGGCCTTGGAACGAAAACGTAAACACACGTGACATTTGTTGGATAAGTGTTTGAAAAGAAAGGGGAATTGGTCGTTCCCGTTTTTGCAATGGATGAATGGATACCATTTTGATTAGTTTTTGAATTTACAATAAAGGGACTGCTTAAAGAGCTATTGTATATAAATTGACAAGTATCTGGCGTCAGCATGTGTCCGGGAATACCAAAGTCTATAAATTGTGTAGAAGAAGGTATAGCTTTATAAACTGTTTGATAGAATATATATAAAAAATGCTATTATGTTCAAATTAATACGACACGTTTATAATCGCTTCATGCAAAATGTTTCACATATTACCAATTGTTAAAGTAAAATTAAGGAATTTTAGTATGCTTTCATTCATTTATTTAGCATTCTTGACAGAAGAACAGACTATGTTTAACAGATTAGTAAAAAAATTATTTTGAAAAGTTTTGGCGTTAAAAGTAACTTAGCAATAGTTTAGTTATATGTTTAATAAAGATTAAGTGCTATTCTTAAAAATTCTTTGAAAACTTTATTTGTATTATTGCATAGATATTTTATAAATTGCTTGGCCGGAAGATCAATGCAATTATTCTTCTGCTCTTAGTGCAGGAGAAGAGAGATATATTGTGTATATCCTTTCATTTAAAAAAAATTATATTAAATTAATCTTATTATGTTTATTATTTCTTAACTAATCATTCAGCTAGTTTAAACCAAAAAAATGTAATTCTGATCTTAGCCCTTACTATTCTACAAAGCAATGAAAGAGTAGAGATTGAGAAGGTATTACTGTTGGATGAAGCCAACGTAATTGAGTTTAACTGTCTTTTTCTTCAGATACCCTATCTAAAGTTGTTTGGACATAGCAATAAACCTTTAAACCGTAAGCTGCCTTACGTTCTACTATATTCAAATAAGTATATTAGAAATTTCTTGAAAAAAAAGAGAGTACACATAAATATGACGACCTCTGTGCTTATTAATGCAAATTATTCTATAAAAGCATTAAGTGTTAACCTTGAATTTAGTAATGCGAATAAAAAATGGCTCAATATATTTTAGAAGTGCTCAATAAGACAAGTATTTTCAAAATAAAATTCTCATTTGAATATTATATCTAGCACTCTAGCTTTTCTAATTGGATAAAATAAATAAAATATTTTTTAAATATTCCATAAAAATACTCTTATAATAATATTATCTGACATTAAACACTCTTTAAATATTTATTTATTTATTTATTTGCCCAATTACCGTGTGCATCCTTCTTATCTCAATTATTTAATGATATTTGAATCAAGCAATCACAGTTATTATAGTGTAAAGCTAAAATATTAAGACTCATATATTGTAGTATTTTATGCTAGAGTATTAATAATAAAAAGTTTTTCTATATATTTATGTCGTAAATTTTTCGTTCGAATAATATATTACAAACAATTTGTCTTGCTGATTATCTGTTTTCCTAAGTATAAATATTGTTATGCCTAAATTTTTCAGAATACATATAAAACGCTCTGATAGGCAGATTAGAGAATTACTCACCAATTGTAAATTTGTAAAATAACTTAAAGCCTCCTGTAAACCCAGTAGAAGGGTCCATGCCAGTTGAATTAAACCGTATCATAAGAAGTGAACGTTGAGAAAGTAGAGGAGATAAATGCAAGTTGCGACCAACAAGAAGTGAGTTTACCCGTCCACCAACATCACACCAGACCTGGCTTGGCACTCTCATTAGTTGAGCTACATTTTCATCGGCCGAATTTTCTTCCATATCTGGAAGTTTGTCCATCTCTAAGAAATTGGAGTCATCTTGAAAGGAAGTGAGGCGGTATCCACCATAAACAGCAAGGAAACCATTCGAGCATCTATAAAATAGATGTTTAATAGTTACCTAAGGGATATGAGTATAGCTTACCTAAATGACTAAAGCTTTTCACGATTAAAACAGTTGTAAATTATATAAAAGATGATTAAATTAAAAATTAATTTTTTATACATTTAGTATAAAAAAATTGATTGCCTTACATCACCACACTGTGCTGTATTATGTCATAATTTTAAAACTTCATTAAAAATAGTGGGTTGAATAAGATAATACAAACTATTTGTCTTGCTGATTATCTGTTTTCCTAAGTATAAAGATTGTTATGCCTACATTATTTAGAATACATATATGTTCTGATAATCATTTTACTATGTATTATCATTCATTTTTACAGCTGTTTTTTCCTCACTAATTTTACCGTTGGTGGGTCACTTTTTTGCATGCTCGATTTATAAGGGTGATACTTTGAAAATAAATTTATTTAGCAAAGTTTTCAAATATACATAAGGTTAAAAAGTTGAAGTTAAAATGTTAGACCATCATTTAAAGCAAGTTATTGGTATTATTATACAAGACAAATGTTAAAATTTGATTACTTTTACGCAGACCTGTTTCCTTTTTGGTCACAATTTGGAAACTGGATATATCATATTTTAGTATAGTGACAAGAACTAATATGTTTTAACGCTAGTTTTATGCTTCGTCCCAAAAATGAGCAAAGTTTTTAGGTTTATATAAATCAATGCTAATATTTTACAATTTAAAATAAAACTGTATTATTATTTTTGTATAGTATTTATTACTTTATTTTGATCTTTTAAAATAGGAAAATTATTATTAAGTTTGTTCTGACTTAAATAGAAACGAAATATTGCAAGATGTATTGGACACTTATAAATATTTAACAATATAAATTAAATATTTTAAGCTATTTCTTATTTCTTAAAATGGTAACTAATTACTAGTTGATATATCAGCTTATGTAAAGTGGAAACTATATAACCCTAAATAAAATTAAGGGTTACTAATCTTACATTCCACCTTGAAATAACTCGGTGCATTAAAACCTAAGCAAAATATCAAATACAAAATGCATATAAAACTTTTTAAGGTCCGAATAAAAGTATTTATGGGATGAAGCTTAATTATATGATCCTTACTCAATTATGAAAATTGTGTTAATGCTAAACTCAAATTTTTGTTCTTCTATTCATCAACATTTTTGTTTAAAAATGATAGCATAGCATATAAAGGCTAGTTTATTATAGCAACTAGCACAGTTTCGTGAGGGTAGTCAATATATGCAATATTTTTTGCTAAATTTAAGATGTCAAATAAGAACCTCATCAATACTCAATGAGATTTGGTATTAGGCTTGCATACTTTCCAGATTTCGCATCCCCAGCAGGTAATGAGATATTCTCAAATCCAATTCGAACGACCTCCATCATTTGTTTATGATGAAGCCCAAGAAAGTATACAGAACAAATTCTTTCAAGGACAAATTTACTGCTATTTTCATTCAATTTAGGAGAAATAATTTCTCCAAAAGATCGGCCTTGACTCCGGATTAGAAAATCACATTCTAAATAGAACATGAAAAGAAGTTTTGTAAATAAAACATTATTTTATATTTATTTGCTAAATTTTATGGATTCTTACCCGTCCCTCTTAAATGTAGATGCTTGAGGCTTTCAGGTACTTCAACAAGAAGATTCGTGAAACTGTATTTTATTCGGAATCCTTTGGCTGTTAAAAGATCTTTAGTCTCCGATGGAGATAATAGAAGAGCACCGGCTACTGGTCTACCTGTCTGCATATCTGTGGAGGCCCCTGTCACGAATATCATTGTTAATACTGATCCTGTTGAAACTATTCGCAAGTTTTCGCCCCGAAGATCCGAAGATTGACCACAAAATCTGCCACCAATCATAGGTGCCGTAGGATTGGTTAATGAATCACCTATTTCTGATCCATCAAAGAAGGCAAGGAAGTCCGATGGGCATCTGAAAAATATTTTTATAAGATGAACTTATTTGTTGAATATTCCTTTGAAGTACAGCATACCACTAATGATCACGCTTTCATAACAGCGTATTGTTTTTTAATAGTCCTTGCAAATTTCCAGCAAACAGCTGTACAGAAACTAAGAAAACTACGCTATGATTCCGTACTCTCTCCCAAAGTACCCTAATCAATTATCCCTTTCTTGAGAAACGGACGTACATCGTTGATGATATGCACTTTACTTGTACATGTAACTCTTTTCCGCACGCCGACTCTTTATATCACGCAAATGCCGTATTATGCAGTAAAATGAACGATCAGAGATAATATAATTAGGAAAATCATTAAATGGAACTGAGGAAAAATCCTCCAAGGGTCATCTCGTTAAGTTAAAATATGTATACCATGAAAATCTTCGAACAACATTATTCAAAATTCAGGTCCACACCAGGCCTCTATGTATTACCTTATTGTATCATAAAATATGAGCATCTGTTTGACATAGTAACGCCATGAAGTAAGCGGCCTTGTGTGCAGGGCTTTAGCCCTCAAGCTCTCTTGCATGATCCTACTGCTTATTCACATACAAAATCTTCTAAATGAATACTACCTAAATAGCTATTTATTTTTTATTCCACAGACTCGTTTAGTTACATTTTATCTCATCTACTCCTGTAATGAGTCTTCAATTATATACAGAACATTTGAACGCACAAGATCACAACTTGATGTTTTATCCAGAATTCCCTTTACTTTGGAGTTTCATACAATCCCAGCCTTTTTCTGAGTTTCAAGCGTATAAATTACAACTTTACGATAAATTTATTCTTTATAGTAAATCTCAGAATATATTTGACTTAATAGAAAAGTCGAACATCAAGAGCTTTACATATAAATTAAATTAAATTAAAATATATAGTGAATAGGTCAAAAAACTATCAATAGCTATCAAGATTATTCCAACTAAACCAAAGCGACTCTAGTTCCAATAAGGCATATATACTTAAATAAGTTATCTGACCTCGTTTACGCAACTTAGCCGTATTGTAAAGTTGGCACAGTTAGACGCACCTTGTCCAAAGTTCACTATTATAATAATTATAACAATTCCCAGCGTTTGACCATGGATTTGGCACATTCCCAAACGTTAAATCCGCACCGCAGACGGCATCATCAGTGCGCCATGCCATTCTTAGCATCAAGCTACAACTCGTCAAAGTAGCATGTAAAGTCAAGCCTTGTCTATTTGCCGAGCTGTAGCATGGTGCCGAGAATTCCGAAACACTTGACGATGTAAACATCGATCCTGGTTTAACGTCTGGTAATGTAAAAAGTCCATGGTCCAATACAGGACATTGTCATAACTACTATAGTAATGGAGTTTTGACAAGGTGCGTCCAGCTGGGTCGCCCTGACAACAAGGCCAAGTTGCATAAATTAAGTCAGACCACTTCTATACATCAAAAGGAGTCTGCGATTAAAGCAGAAGCCACAACATCTTGGTTTTCTAATCCACCATATACTGGTAGTATGACAGCATGCCCAAAAAATAATAAATTCATCAAATCTATGGTCAATAAACATTTTCTTTTTCAAACTGTTCTGTAATTACTATGCGTAGGAAGAGACTTGGCTTTCATGGATTTTAAAACTAATTTATGCTTCACTGGCGTCAAGAGTTAGGAATAATAACTATGAGATAAGTGTTCGGCATTCATGATCCTATTTATATTCCAAAGTTTGGTATAAATGGAACACGCATGAAGCTGAAGGTGGAGTGTACCTCGGATACGAAAGTCTTTAACTTTGCAAGGCCAAGTAAAACTAATGAAACCATATATTCATTTATTTATATTTAAAACTTTGCTCTTTAAGCCATCCATCACTTGAGAACAATTAAAAGGTTTATTCCATAATAATGATAACATTAATTCAGGTATATGATTTTTCAACACTCAAAGTTTAACTTATTCGAAATGATTGGGTGACAAACCTTCCAGCACTTATTTTCAAAATTGAAATGT